GGCACTCCAAGGGTAGTTTCTTTGTCTCCCAAACTGCCACAACTTTTCGGTGCGCCCACTTGAAATGTCTTCGCGCCTCCCGCGATGCTCAATCTCGGAAGTTGCGGAGCATTAAAGAGGAATTAAGTGGAGTGTGGATGGGAGAGAGTGTGGTGTTGGCTCTCCATTCTCATCAATGCCGAAGGAGCGATTTTTAATTAAATTGTAAATTCGAGAAGGCGAAAATCCGCTGTCTTTGTGCCGCAAAATCCCGGCTTTTTTCCTCCTTCGGCACGCCAAGGATAATCATGGTGTGGAATTTTTTCCCCAAAAAGTTTCGCCTCTCTTCTCGATGACACAGTCATTTGACCTGGCCCTCGTCATAGCCAAATAATCAAAGACTTATTAATGTCGGAGCGTCTTGATCCAAGGGGGAGATATTTGCCTTGGAAGAAGGCTAAGCGAAAATATTTCGTATGTAAAATCTTATTCTTCAGCAAATTACTGCAATTATTTAACATTCTGTGGATTATTTTTCCTGGACAAATCAATCTTGGTGCTTTTCTAGGTTTTATAGCTAAGTTGAGATCAAAGTAAGTGAATGAAAGTCAACTAATAACATCATTTCTTTCACTAGAGTCAACGAAACTTAGATGATACAATGTGATTGGTTACGAAAGAATTCAGGAACAGTCGAAGGAGTCCACAAGGGCTGAAAAATGCGTGGAAAAGTGTGGAAGTTCATGATCTCCCCCTTGACTTGGTCTGTTCTCAGGGATGTTTTAATTAAAAATCGTCTCCACTTTGATTTGCACCCCCTCGCATTCTTGCGTGTGGTTCTCGTGTAATTTTTTTTCCCATCAACCGTCTTTTGATGCCGAACTCAATCTCGCCCTTCGACGCACATCAAGGTGAACACAAAGTCATTAGATAATTTTAATTGGAAAAGTGGATGGCCGAGGCAAAAGTTGCGCGAATTGAAAGTTTGACCACAAAGTACAGGAAAAAAAACAACATCTTCAGGGCGAAATGAGTTTTTTCTCACATTCCGTGATGGCTTTTCTTCGCCCATTCGCTGCCGAGTGAGATGGAGAGAAAGTTTTCCGAGTTTATTCAAGCAACTTGTTAACATTTTGCTCAGGAAGTGTGAAATTCTGAGTTCATCATTAAACTGCAGAACCTTTCGAAACTTAAAATTATGTTTGGCAATCATTCACAACTGCACAAATACATATTTTGTTGCCAATTGACATTCACTGGGTGTAAAGCAAAATTTGAATTGAAAAATAATATTCGTGAGAGTCAAAGATAAATTGACTTTTGTTGGAATCGAAATATTTTAGCCTGAATAAACTTCATTGTGAAATTTTACTTCTCGCGCAGTCAAAAAAAATATTTCTCTTCCACTTTTTTTTTATTTCCTTTTTACCATTGTTTGAAACCAAAACACAGAATTGATTTGAATATGAAACATTTGCCGAATTATTGATTATACTCCAAAACTCCCAGGGAAGCTTTTATTGTGCCAACACATGAACAAACAGATGAATTATCATTGGAGAAAAAATGTGGAAAGAGAGCCAAATTGAGAGTTTCACCGCCAAATACAACGGCTTCTCTCCTTTCAAAGATCGTCAAAAGCATCAAATCCTCACGAAAATCTATTAAATTGACAGTTTATCGGCTCACACCTTTGGCTTCAGTTGAAAATCACATTAATTTCTCCTGTATTTTCTGTAAATTCAAATATTTTCACCAAGGGGAAAAGTTACTCGCAATTTTAAACCGTTAACTTCGAGTTATTTATTCAAGATTCTTTGATTTTTCGTAATTTTTACACAACTTTTGATAAGAATTTTGATGATTTCATAAAAATTCAACATTTACTTCATTATTGAATTTTTTTATTTTTCCATTAATTTAATTAATTTGCCGAAAATAATTCAATTTTTGTGTTATTTTGCAATCTAACGTGGAAAATAATAATTTTTTTTATTATTTTTCTTCAAGTCTTGATTATTTGATTTTTTTCTTCAAAAATCTAGTGACATTCCCCTTGATTTTCACCCTCCACAAAGAATCTCATAAAACCAATTATATTCATTATATATCAAAAAGCTTCACACTTTTTCACGAATGGCGAATTAAAATCCGGGAATTAAATGCAAATAATTTGCTGTGCGCCTCAAAATCATCAAATGGATCGAATAATTCCAAAATTGATTGTACGAACAAGCTGTAATTATTTTAGGAGCGGATTTTTTCGGTTTCACGCCTCGTAACGCGCGATAATAAAGACCATTCATCAGGGCTGTGCGAAAAGCCTTTTCCTTCAGTGAAATGTCACACGTTTTGCATTGCAAAGGTCCCTGTAATTAAGCTCGAGATGTGGATTGACTGGGCAGATTTGGTGGCAAAAGACATGCGAGAACAAGAGAGCTGCGAAAAGTGTGATGGATGACAGCGTTTTTGCATATTCGTGGACACTTTGCCACCCACTTGGCGCGGATCGTGAAACACGGACCGCAGAAAGTGTCAACAAATGAAATGCAATTGGCAGCATCAGGTGTGGTTCAAGTTGTGGCCAGAAAAGGCCCTCAATCGACTGTTTGTGTGCATTTTCCCGAACAAACGCCATTTTATGCCGATGATTTGTGCCAATTTTCACCGCTCAAGAGCCATTTGACAGCAAACACTCTGAATTTGTTAAATTTGTCCATTTATTCTCCTGAGAATAAAATAAACAGATGAAAAAGTTAAAATTGGAGAGAAAAAATATTCTCCCATGAATTTTCCCACGCAATTCTCTGGACAAACTCCTTCGTTGGGTAAATCACGAGTTGAAGCCACTCTCGATTCCCGAGAGAGATTGTAAAAGTGCGAAAATGACGAGGAAATGGCAAACTTTTTCATAATTCAATTAATTCAAGCTCTCTAACAAAGACCGATGATTTGATTTCCACCTTCTATCGTGCATCTTTTCCCGGGAAACCTTCGATGGTCATTATCCTTCATTTGGCCGGCGATTCGGGAGAGAGTTAAGAGATAAGAGAAGAGCTGAAATAGCAGAAATAAATCAAGAGTCGAACCAGAGTTGAAAAGGAGATTTTTTTTATAGATAAAATGGAAACATTTTCAGTGAGAATTCATACTTTAACACTCAATCATTAAATATCAAGAGGAATCTTTGACTACTCACCAGCTTTGATCTCTCATCTGCATCGCAAAATGCTTCAACTTTGATAAAACAAACATTTTTACATCGCGTTTTAAATTAATTCTTGGAAGTCGTTTAAAATTTCCGCGAATAAAATGTTATATTTTGATGAACTTCACATCGAAGCCACAAAAATCAAAGAGAATTAGAAAATTCACAGAGCAAAAAAAAGGGAAAAGCCAAATACCGAAAAAAAATCTAGGAAAATTCATTCCGTCTTTTTTATTATTTGATGTATTTTTCTGTGGTTTGCGCAGTCGAGAATATTTAGCAAAATTTCATACGCAAAAAATACGAGAGGAAAGAGTGGCAATATAGTTTATGCTTCTCACTTTCCCATCAATCCATCTTTGGAATTGTGAATATCTGCAAGGAAGGAAAATCAGGGATTAAGATTTTCAAAAAAAACTGAACTTACTCAAAGTATCTTAATGTTTTCTCAGCAACGTTCACAAACCAAATATCAGAAGTGATCTCAGTGTTCATCGCGGGTTCTTAAAGTGTCTCAAACTGCTAGAACTCTGTGCCTAAAAATGCTAAAATGTGTCCTGAATGGACTTCAATTGGAATTGCACAGCGCGTGTTGATCAAGGGGGAGATATTATGGCCAAAAGTGGTGTACAGATTCGTAGAAGTTTTAAGAAATGAAAGCACTTCAATTTCTGCAATATTTGGCTCACAGCTTTGATTTTCTGTTCATTATTTTATGGTCAGAAATGTTTTTTCTCCTCTAAATCGTAATTTTGACATTTTTTTTTTTAGGTTATGTGAATTATTAAAGACGAAAAAAGAGCTTAAAATAGAATATCTTCCGCTGAAAACAAAGTGGTTTTCATTGAATAATACATAATTGTGTGTCTGCAGTCAATAAAAATTGCGATTCTGAAAGCTTAGAAGGTTCAAATCTAACATAACCTCAAATTAGAAGGATTCTAATTAAGAATTTAATGTCGAAAGGTGTAATAAAATGCAGAATTTCATCAGATATTGTGAATAATTCCGGCAAACAGTCTGAAAATTAGAGATATGAAATCGATAGATTTAATGGAATTTTTCTTTGATTTAAGGCTTTTCCACACAAATTGTGGAAGTATCAAGAAGTGATGTTCAGATTTTAGCCACATTGTCCTCCCCTTGGTATTGATAAAGAAAAATCATGTTAAGTTTACTTTAAGAAGGAGATATTATGATGAAAATCCATAAATAAATTTATCAGTTATTTATTTATAAAAAATATATCCAATTTTGAAGCAAAAACACTATTTAAATCAACAGAAAATATATTTTCACTTCTCAAAACAGAAAAATTTCTCCCCCATGGCTTAGTTTTCCGACACAATTTGTCTCTGTGGATTCAGAAAAAAAAACCATTTGGCGTATCGCATCATATCTCGCGGGTGTCATTCAGAAATTTGCCTATGGAAATGGTTATTTTTTGATATCTCACACAAAATGGATTTCCAGCTTTACGCAAAAAGTGGAAATCTCATTAATTTGTTAGAAATACGAGATGCTTTTGCTTCACATCAGCAGAAATTTGAGCTAAAATATTTGATTCACTGGAAATTACAAAGTATTCACGACAACTGCATTTAATTTCCAATTATTGAGTGTTTTGCAAGTGGAAATCATGCAATTTTATACTCTTAATCTACAACTAATGATGCTCATTAATTATAAATTGATTCTATGCAGTATCAAATGAAATGTAATTTTCATGCGATACATAATTAAAACTTGCTATTTAATTTAGTGAAATTAATTTATTTATAATATTTATAAATTAGTTTGAAATTCTGTTAAATCATATTTCATAGCCTTTGATGTTTTTAATTCATCTCTCCATTGAGCAAACTTGCTCTTTTATGTACTCCAACTTTGCCGTCCCTTCGCTCATTGCCTCCACTTGATAGCCCAAGTGTTGCCTTATCAGCTGCATTTTCCTGAGATTCTGGCTACTGTTATCCATTGCCGTTTCCGCCTGGGCGAAGTTCTTCGCGGATTGCATCAAAATCTGCCCCAAGGGATCGAGATTCATCACTAAATTTTCACTTTATCCCATTAGTTTGCAGTAATTGTACCTCATTTGATTTCGAGCCACGCACAATTTGGCGCGCCACTGAGGCCGAATTGTGCACATTCACCATCACTCGATCGGCTAGTCGCCGCTTGGAGTCGCTGAAGAGGTTCTTCGCACTGCTCGAAGACGCTGAAGCCATTCCTGAAGACAGAAAAAACACTTCTTACGTGGAATTTTATGCGAAATCACCACTGATTTCAGCAATTAACTCAACTTACAGAAATTCAAAAGTATTTCAAAATCAATTCTAGATCGATAATGAGTAGAATTAACTGCTAAATTGGAGAAAACATGAAGTGAAAACTTCCACCCAAAACAAAACACACTGTCAAAGCACCTTTGACAGCAATCAGATGTTTTAAATCTTTTCTTGAGGGGAAATGTGGGACAGATTATGATTCAAGCCGGCGCAGTGAATATTTCATCAAAATTTCACTGCACAATAGAGAGAAATATATGAAAATTTTAATAAAATCACAGATTTTCCTGACAATTTCAAAATTACACGCCATCTTTGTCTTCTAATCTCTAAAAATGCATCTTTCCCAATTACATGTCATCAAATTTCCCTCAAATCATCATGAGAAATGGCCTGAAATATTGTAAACAGCTGTAAATTTCATGAAACTCTGTGAAGCTCTAATTGTGACACATCGTCTGAGGTTCTTGACATTCAAATGATATTGAAAAATCCGCCGTCAGTGGTCGATAGATTTTCCCGGCTTTTCGCAATTTTTACTACTTTTTCGCGCTCTTTTTCTGTGAATTCCCTTTGCCGAAATCATGTCTGCAAGACCTTTTCTTCCATCTGAGTCCGCTTGGCAGGATATTCAGGCGTACTTCAGTGAAAACGGTGCCAAAATCAACATCAAGAAGCTCTTTGAGGAAGATGCCAATCGATTTGATAAGTTCAGGTATGAATTCTTCCGTTGTTCCACCAATTAGTGTGATTGTGGCTTGATAAGCGTTATCAGAAATGTGCAAAACTGCAGGGATTTCACAACAACTCTGACTTTATGAGCTTTGTGAGCTCATTTTGGCTCATTTGCATTTACCACGACTGACTTTCTGCACTTAAAACAGCGCGGATTAGAAAGGGAGGGCGACACTTTTGTGACCTCCACACCTTTCCAGGTCATTGTCAATCGTCAATTTATATGCTAATCCGCAATTTCTTGCAGCCTGAAGCTCTCCACGCCCGCCGATGGCGACATCCTGCTGGACTACTCGAAGAATCGCATCACGGACGAAGCATGGAAGAGACTGCTGAAGCTGGCCGAGGTCAGGAGGGTGGCCGAGGCCAGGACAGCCATGTTCTCCGGGGAGCACATCAACATCACCGAGGATCGCGCTGTCCTGCATGTTGCGCTGAGAGATCGGTGAGTTGTCCGCGGACAGGACGAGAAAGTTACAGGGCGATTTGGGACATCTTAGCTTAAAAGGAAGAAAAAATCGTTAGCCAGCTAACGAACGATGGGAAAAGATAGGAGCTTAGCTATATAATTTGTCTATTGACAATTCCCAGGTCAGGCCAGGCCATCTTGGTCGATGGCAAGGACGTGATGCCGGACGTGCGCGCTGTGCTGGCGCACATGAAGGAATTCTCCGAGCAAGTGATCTCGGGCTCGTGGAAGGGCTACACAGGCAAGGCCATGACTGATGTGGTGAACATCGGCATAGGCGGCTCTGACCTGGGCCCTCTGATGGTCACCGAGGCGCTGAAGCCCTTCAACAAGGGCCTGCGACAGCACTTCGTGTCCAACATCGACGGCACGCACATGGCAGAGACGCTGCGTCGCGTGAGTGCCGAGACCACGCTGTTCATCATCGCCTCCAAGACCTTCACCACCCAGGAGACCATCACCAACGCCACGTCGGCGAAGACCTGGCTCCTGGAGCAGGCCAAGGACCCCTCGGCCGTGGCGAAGCACTTCGTGGCGCTGTCCACCAACACGGAGAAGGTGAAGGCCTTCGGCATCGACGAGAAGAACATGTTCGGCTTCTGGGACTGGGTCGGCGGACGCTACAGCCTCTGGTCGGCCATCGGCCTGTCCATCGCCCTGGCCGTGGGCTTCGGCGACTTCGAGAGGCTCCTAGAGGGCGCCTTCTTCATGGATCAGCACTTCAAGTCGGCGCCCCTAGAGAAGAACGCCCCGGTCATCCTGGCCCTGCTGGGAATTTGGTACTCCAACTTCTTCGGCGCCGAGACGCACGCTCTGCTGCCCTACGATCAGTATCTGCACAGGTTCGCGGCCTACTTCCAGCAAGGCGACATGGAGAGCAACGGAAAGGGTGAGTCGCGCTCTGCGTGCGCAAAGAAACAGATCTTAATTCTCGATTCTCCCCCGAAGGCGTCACGAAGGGCGGCGATCGCGTGACTTACGGCACTGGGCCCATCGTCTGGGGTGAGCCTGGCACCAACGGCCAGCACGCCTTCTACCAGCTCATCCACCAGGGCAGTCGGCTCATCCCGTGTGACTTCATCGCGCCGGCGCAGACGCACAATCCCATCGCCGGCGGCGCACACCACAAGATCCTGCTGGCCAACTTCCTGGCCCAAACCGAGGCCCTGATGGCGGGCAAGAGCGAGGCGCAGGCCAAGCAGGAGCTCGAGCAGTCTGGCCTGGCCGGCGAGAAGCTGGCCCAGCTGCTGCCGCACAAAGTCTTCACCGGCAACCGGCCGACGAACTCCATCGTAGTGAAGCGGGTCACGCCCTTCACGCTGGGCGCGCTGATCGCGCTGTACGAGCACAAGATCTTCACGCAGGGCGTCATCTGGGACATCAACAGCTTCGATCAGTGGGGCGTGGAGCTGGGCAAGCAGCTGGCCAAGGCCATTGAGCCCGAGCTGGCCACGCCAGACCCGGTCAAGTCCCACGACTCGTCCACCAACGGACTCATCAACTTCCTGAAGGCGAATTGGTGAGAGGAAGCCGAATAATCTCCATATCGAATATCAGCGGTCATTATATTATTATTCATGGAAAACAGTGTTGTGGTTATTGTAATAAAGAAGAATGCGTTTCAAACGAAATATGCGCTGTGTTGAGAGATTTTGAGTCAGCAGAAAAATGAGATAAAATAATGTGTGAGTCAAGCAAAACGCACAAATCGCAGAAAAGACAGATTTTCGACCTTCATTCTCCTTTTGACTTTTAAGATTTTGTACTTAATTCACACTTACGAGACGATAAAGCTACAATTTCTACGCATTTCGCAATTTTCATTAAAATTGCTTGCAATTCTCAAGCATGGCGTCAACCGTTATGGCGACTATGTTTGAATTTTCCGCCCAAACGCGCTGCGATTGTCACTCTCCGGCCGGCGCACAGTTGGCAGCAGTGGCGCGAAAGAAAAACATGAAATCGGGCTTTCTGAGGCGAAAAATCAATTCCCGTGCGCTTTTGTGAGGAAATCCCGCGCCCCGTGTGTGGAAACGCGCCCCAACATGACCATGTCGATCAAGGAGCGTCCGGAGGAGGAGATCGAGTGGAGTCCGGAGGACGAGATCCAGCTCTTCTTCGCGCTGGACGGCCTGAAGCCCGTGGGCATAAACAAGTACTTCTTCATGGCCTGCATCGCCGACCGGCTGTCCAAGGCGCTGAACCGCGAGGTGAGCACCGAGGCGATCTGGAGCCACCTCAAGACCATGTACAACCTGGACGCGCTGGACGAGCTGGAGCCGCTGCCCTTCCCCAACGACCAGCGCGACTTCTCGCTCCCGGACGAGTTCAGCACGCTTCTGGCCAAGAAGCGCCAGGACGTGGAGGAGGCCAGCCGCCGGCTGGACAGCCTGGCCAAGGAGGCGGCCAAGACGCCCTCGCGCCCACCCTCGGCCGCCTCCCAAGCGTCCAGCACCAGCAAGCAGCAGAACCAGAGCCGCGAGTCGCCGGCGGAGAAGAAAGCGGACGCGCCCAAGCGCGCCCCCAAGCGCACCAGGGGCTCCGCCTCGCTGGAATCCAACAGCAGCCCCTCCACCACGCCGCCGCCCGTCGTCACGAAGCGGCGCCGAATATGAGCCCTGAATTCTTCCTCATGATTTTCCTTCGTGTTGTTGAAATCGCGCGCGCCATTGAAGAGTGCCGCAAGAGTTCTCCTATTCGGAGTTTCGAGAGAGACGAGAAGAAGGCGTTTCTCTCCTTGTTGCTTGTGAGGGGTAGCAAATCTTGTACATTTTAGTTTAACCTGAGAAGGCTAATAAATCCTTTTATGTGAAATTTAAGAGAAAAACCCTGCTTTCAGTAGTTTGACAGCTTTAACAGGTGAAAAGGCGATGAATTGGAAGGAAAACAGCAGAAAACAAAGTAAATTTCCACTTTTATTTCTATGATTTACCCAACAACTTGTGGCATCTTCTTACTCAAGATGATGATAAGCCTAGTCTGACAACTACAACTAGAATTAAGACACTAATAAACCCTAAACCCACTCTCTGTCCGTTATAGAATACATTTTCAAAAGAGCCACACTTTTTCGCCCTCTGCGTGACTCGGCGCATTCCCGCAAGAGGCCGCGCACGCCAGTCTGGTGCAATATGGTGGACTTTTTATTTTCTTCCCATCAATCAGCTGCGAAATGATGAAAAATCTCTGACCATTGACGGAATTGGCTGAGAAAAAAGCGTGCAAAGTGCCCCCCGAGGTCGCCCCCGTACCACTTGACTGCCGTGCAGGTGAGATGGCGCCCCAGAGCGGCGCCCGTGCGTGCAGCAGCAGCACAAAGGCAGCAAACAACTCTGACATAACTCTCTCTGTGTTTTGTCTGTGCCGCGCGAGTGGCGCGAGCGCCCCACAGTGGGGCTCCCGCGTCCACCCGCCGGCTGCCGAGCAGCCCCACTCTCACGCCGTTCCCTCCTCTTGACCGCAGGCCATGCTTACGTAACGCGACAGCGCGTGCGACCCTGATCGGAGGATTCTTGCGAAGGAAGTGCGCGGCCAGGAGCCCGCGGGCGTGTCAGGAAGCTCTCGTGTGGACCGGAGAAGAACAACATCCAAGCTGGAGCGCCTCCCGGAGTACCTCAAGGATACGGTGGACTGGTTTATGGGGTGAGTGTCAGTGTTCAGCCACCGCCAGAAGCCCCAAAAGCGCTCAGTTCTCGCTGTGCGCTCGCCGCGGAAGCACGCGGAATATGTTCAATTACCTCCTCAATCGGCCCGCAGTGCTGCTCACGCGGGCCTCAGGGCGCTACTCCGCCATCTCCGGGGCACCCCAGGGTGCTCCCGAGGACACAGTCACGTGCTTCTGCAGGTAAAGACGCGCGGAATTGACTGCGTGCAAATCGAATTAGTCCAATTTGATCGACACATTCCAGAGGCTGTGCGAGATTTTTGCTCTATTGGCGCGATCTGGGCGGGATTGGGAGTCTCTTCGGGGTGCTGCGATAGTCTGTGAGTCTCAGAATTGGTGGAATTAGTCGAATAGCTGGGAAAAGGTCTTGAAAATGCTTATTTTACGTCAAGAATTCTTTAAAATTGGGACCTTTCTTGCGAAAATTGCACACTTTTGACTTAATTAACTTCTTTAATAACAATTCAATCTCTTTATTCTGTCTCTGACGGTGTTTGTCACCTTTTGGACTCTCTTAACAGGTGTTTTAATGCATTTTGTGACCAATTTGATCAGAATTATTTCGAAAAAGATGCAAAAGAACACTAAAATTGTGTAAAGAAAGCTTCAGGGACTTCTTTAAATAATTTAAATTGCTTTTTTCGGAGATTGATCAATTTTAATCTGTCATTTAATTGCGATTTAATTTAATTTTCTATCAATTTCCATTGAATTATGAAGCTATTTTGTGTGCCGCTTATCGATTTTTACTTAAATTAGTGATGCAAATTCGTCCCTTTCCTCAGCAGTTTAATCATTTTATCGCTCATAAAATGTTTCGCGTTGATATTGCAATTTTTAAATACATTTCTATTGCAATTTAAAAGCTACATTCGTAGTTTTTGTGCTATTTGAAGCTATTTTTGTAGGGCAATTTGCACTTTTAGTTGTCAATAAAGCTTCTGTATCACTTCTGAATTCAAAATTGCATTTGAAAAGGACAATTTGGCAAATCTGTCTATTGTTCACCGTGAAACACTTCATGTGCAATAACTGGATTAAATTCTAATGCCTCACGTTTGTGGCATTTCATCTGCACTCGCTGTTTGTTAAGCGACAATGTTGTGGCTCGAGAGGCGATCAAGAGGAAGTCGAGTCACCCCTTAATTATGATATATGACACTGTCATGGTCATGTTATCCTTCGTGTGCTGGTTTTGTGGCAAGGTCACCGCAATTCTGCCAGCATCAGCACTGATCCTGTCTCTCTATTGGACTTCCTCAATCGATTGGCGCGCGCGTTGAGGAGTGAGAGATTGTTATTGTTGGCCAGAGAGAGAAATGGGTCACAAGAGGAGAAGACTTCCAAGCGCGTCTCAAGTCGGTTGACGTTATTAATTACTCAGCGAATGGGTTTAAAGTCGCGCGCTGGGCTTTTGTCTGCGCCAGAGTGCCATCTATTGTGCACGGCGTGGAAGTTGGAGGAGCGCCAGCGCTATTTTGCGCCAATATTGGCGCAGTGTTGGGGAGACTCGCGTTGAGTTAGTTGCACAGTGAACATTTTTCAGTTATATCTGAACGGTTGAGAGACTTACACATAATTTTAATTGATTTCGCTTGCTCCGCGCGAGAGTCAGTGTGTGTTGTACAGGTTTCTTGTCTTTTTTCTCTCTCCACTGTTTCTTTCTTCAAAATCCAAGGAAATCACAAGAATTAGTGAAAAGAAAAATCAGTAGTTTTTGAGAGAAGTGTGTTACGAAGATCTTTTGCCGTCTTCAATGATCAGTTGATGTGTCAAATCCTTGTGTGTGGTTTGTTTCTTCCTTTTTTTTGAAGCAAAATTCAGCGACGTGTGATTGTGAGAGAAAGGAAAAGCGCCGAATGAGTGGGAGAGTTATTAAAATTTATAATGAAATAAATAGAGAAAATGTGGCAATATTGAAAAGCAAATGAAGAGGAGATATAATCATAAAATTGCAATAAATAAAACAAGTTATATAATGCAAAATGCCGCGAAGTGTGATGTGTTAAAAAGAAGAAAAAATTGTGAAATATAACAAATCTCTTTCTTTCGTGTGTGTGTGTTTGTCTGTGATTCTGCATTTTGGGGGATTTTTCTTGAAAATATCAAAAGAAGAACAAAAAACCATATAAATTTCCTCTTAAAGATTCTCTCAAATATAGGCACAATTGTGAGTCTTTTCGAGGCTATTTTCTAATCTTTGGGGATTAATCAAGCTATTTGGCGATTGAGAGGAGGAAAAAAAATGTGTGACATAGTGAGAAATTGTATATTTTTCACGTTATTTCGTGTTATTAATAACGTAACACAAAGTATTATTGTCTCTCTCTCTCACACTCTTATTTACACTTCTTTCTTCCCTCCCCATTTCTCCGCAATTGTCATGAATAGTGTTGCACAGTTATGTAAAAGAAGAAGAAGAAAAAAAAGACTTTGTGAATCAAAGAGAAAGAGGAAGAGCGAATAGAGTACTTTCTAAGGCGAAAAAAAATGGAGAGAATATCTCTGTTTCTCTTCTGTTTTTCCGAGTTTGATGGTGTTTTTTTTTTGAAGTGAACGGGAAATAGCTGAAAATATAGCTTGAAATGAATTTTCCTCATATCGACGGGTGCCTCGAAAACTATAAAAAGTCAAAATTGCCATTTTTCAGCAAAGCGAATTCAAAATTTTGCATTAAAACAGCTGCGAAATTTGCCAAATTTACTTCAAAATACTCAAAATGCCTTCAAATCATTCGTTAAAGTGAAAATATTGCTCCTGTATTTTTTATTTTGTAAATGTTTTATTGGTATTTATTGAAATTTTTCACTAAAATGTGGCAAAATTAATAGAAAATCTGAAAATATTACTTTTCAAAGTCGATTTTTAATGGTTTTTGCGTTGATTTTATACAAAAAAAAATCAACTTTTTATACTTGACTTGAACTTTTTCTTAATGTTTTCAAGTGAAAAAAATTTAAAAGATATGAGAAATATTCATTTAAAGTCCAAAAAAAAAACATTTTAGGATAATTCTGAAAATCTACAAATATTTTCTAAAAAGACGTTTTATGTATTTGACTGCAATTTTTGAGACATTTTTCTTTGGGAAAATTCTTCAGCGTAAACAATGAAAATTCGACTTTTCATTCGCAAAACATGACAATTTTTTTCCATTTGTGCTTTTTAGATAAATAAGATTTTTTTCTATTGTCTCATAAGATACAAATCTTAATATTCTTGTACAGAAAGAACAAATAAAAGACTTTTCAAAAATACATAAGACGAAAACTATGATAAATCGACTTTTCATAGTTTTCCATTCACCCGTCGATATGAAGAATCGAAAAATTAAAAACTTTTCTTTCGTCCTCACAAAATGAAATTAGAGCAATTTTGGTGATAAACTTTCTGTCATATTTGTCCGAATTTTCTCTCTGAAAATCATCTGTATCTCAAAAATAGACGATTTGTTCTATAGATATTTTTCCTTGGTGGATGAAAAGTGTGCAAAAAGAGAGTGTTTTGAGTAAAAAATACCGGGAATGAGGAGAAGAAGTAAACTTGTGGAGGATGTGAACATGATGTTTGCAAGATTATTTCTTACATATTTTTTTTTCTCCTTCTTTCCCCCTCTTAAAGACATCTGAATTGATTTTAGCGATGAAAAAGCAGTGAATCTGGGAAAAGATAGATTGTAGGTTGAATGTAAATATCCGGCTTGGATGAGTTTTCATTTGAGTAAAATGAAAATTGACACCGGAGAAGAAGATGAATTGAATTTATTGCGGATTGAGGGAGTTTTTATAGAGTTCTCAAAGTTTCAACGATGATTCCAATAATTATAACTTCTAATGTAGTTTGGAAAATATCGTAGCCAATTAAATATGGTAAATATTAAAATAATCCCATTTCTAAGCGTTCAATTTACCTTTTCCAACCGCGTTTTGAGCTGAAAATGGTTTAATTTGAAGGGCAGCAGAGCTTAATTAGTTATTTATAGTAATATGAGTCGTTGCAACTTTGTTTTCATAACATTCTAAATAGACTCTCAAAGTTATGAATTCATGATTGAGATTCATAACATTTAAGACGGTGGATTTATTTACTCTCTGCGACACCTGAAATGTTTCAAACTTTGGCGCCTGAAAAGTTAATTCATATATTTTATCGCGTGAAGGCAGGAAAAGCCGGAAAACTCACGTGTAAACCGAGAAAATAGGCAATAATGATGTTTTTAAGTTGATTAGCACAGATTGATTACATTTATCGGGTCATTTACTGCACGTGATTGAAGTTATGTCCTTTTCGGACATCCTTCGAGCCTTGTCAAAGAAATAAAGCATTTGCAAATACATAAAAAGCTATGTTATGATTTTATTGTTCATGCGTAAATGTTGTGACACACATGAAAATGCAGCTGTGCTGAAATGTCACAGAAAAAGACATCTTTCTGGTCATTTTAGTGAGCAAAATACTTCAAGCATTGAGTCTTAAACACCCTGAATGTCAGGGACAGTCGCAGATGTCAAATTCGTAGCTTTTACGAATTAATGTATGAAATCTGTAAAGTTGCAACGACTCCTTAACCTACTTTAGTGGGTAAATTCGGGCTTTTAATCACTAATAAGGCATTTCCAGTTAAATTGTGAAAATTTCATTCGCTTGTTGGACACTTTTAGTGGTTTTCTTCACTCTTGTTGTCCTGTCATCGAATGTGAGTTCTTGGACACGATTTGCTCCGGAACTTCTTGTGTTCTGCATCCTAATTTTTCATTGATAAATCGCTTGGATCGCTTCCTGGCTTCGGTCTAGTCTTTTCTCCTGTTGGTAAATCTTGTGTCTGCCAAGAGGCGCATTAGCTGCTCTATATATAGGTTCTTTTTATTTATTACACAGCGAAGAGCCCCTCCTTTTAATTTAATATAATGCACTCTTCATAGTGTGTAATTCCTGACTTGATGGAGCCTCACATTTTTTCATCATTCGGCTGTTTTTTTTTTGCTCTCTTGCCACACCGCGAACGACTCTCCTGGTATAATATTAATTCGCGGTCTGATTGTGCTAATAAAGCACTTTGCTGGGTGTTTATTTCTTCACCCAACTAGAATTGGAACTATTGTGAATGAGCGAGAGGAGAGTTTTGAGGGCTCTTATATCATTCATGCACTCGCGAATGTGAGACGATGATGTGAGTGAGTGAATGAAATTGAGGTTCTCTTTTGGGTGAAAAGAGTATGTTTTAATATACTTTTGAGGGGGTAAATTAGTAAAAACTTTTTATATAGCCCCAACAAATATCGTCATTGGGTTTATTATGTGTGTGCGCTCTGGCTCTCAAGTCATGTACTGTACACACTTTGGCTGACCTTATTTCACCATTTGTGACTTTTCAGTTCTTATTCTCGCTCTCTTTCTCTGGCTCTTGTACTCACTTAAGCTCTGGGGCTCTCGCCAAGTGTGTGTGTGTGTGTGTTTGTGTGTGTGATGGAGGAAATATAAGAAATTCATATTGGACAACCAGCTGATCCGCGAGCGACTCGACTTCCCTCCTCGCACAAACGGCTGTTTGTGGTTTTAATTCTCAATTAATGCCTCACGTTCAATATTCTCTCACTCTGCCCATACATTCGTCCCACCAATGCGCTATATACGCTACAAATTGCCGGTTCTGTTACCAACCAGCGGCTCTCTCATTCCCTCAACTTCACGATCCAACGATATGCCAATGAATAATTCACCTTTTCCCAGGCCAGTCGGCGATGGTTGGAAGGAAAATCTCTCACTCACTCGCCAATTCTCTGTCTAACACAGAAAACTCTGTGTCTCAAAGTATTATTGAGCAACTATCTAATGTTTATCATGTTGGGTCGCATTGGCGAAATTCACTTGAAGAAAAAAAAGGAATCTTTCGCGTGATGGCACGATGGTCAAATTTATCATCACGTCATAAAACTTATTTTTATCATCTCAGCGACAGAGCAATAGATTAAATGAAATTTCATATTGACGGTTGAATTGAAAACTATGAAAAGACGATTTATTATCATTTTCGTCTTATGTATTTTTGAAAAGCTTTTAATTTCTTCTTCCTGTGCAAAAATTTTGAAGTTTGTATCTTATAACACAATAGCAAAAAATCTTATTTATTTATAAAGCACAAATTTACCAGTGAAAAATCGAATATTCATTGTTTTACCATGGAAAATGTCTCAAAAATTTCAGTATAACGCATAAAATATCTTTTCAGAAAAAAATGTTAAGACTTTCAGAATTATCCTAAATTGTTTTTTAGACTTTGAATTGCTATTTCTCATATCTTTTAAATTTTTACACTTGAAAACTTTAAGGAGACGTTCAAGAAGAGCATTAAAAGTTGATTTTTTAGAACTAGTTTCGATAAAATCGACTTTAGAAAGTAATATTTTCTGATTTTCTATTAATTTTCACATATTTTAGTCAAAAATTTCAATAAATAACAATAAAATCAACGAAAATGTTTACAAAATAATTAATGCAGAGCAATTTTTGCACTTTAACGGATGATTTGAAGGCATTTTGAGGTGAATTTGGTAAAATTCTCATCCTTATTAATTAAAAATGGCTATTGTGCCTTTTCATAGTTTTCGAGGCACCCGTCGATATAGAAAATAGAAATATTTTTCCATGGAATGTCAGTTGAGGGTCGCGCTTTTCCTCCGTCAAGCGCACTTCTGTTTTCTTTCTCCGTATTTTGTTATATTAGGCGCCAATGATGAAGAGTAGAAAGAAAAAAGAACGCACAACAGGAAATAATAATTTTTCACCTTTCAATTGCTCAACCATGAATAAGAATGCCATATATTTTGATTCACGAAAACTTAATTCATGAATTTATGTGTTGATTGTGTTGATGTTGTATTTTTTTCAGTGGAAAAGGCTTGGCTTTTGCCAACAATGTTTTATCTCTTTTGGCATTTGCATATAAAACACTCGAGATGGGAAATTCTTTCCTTCTCTCAAAACAACAATTGATTCATAATCACTCTCACTCTATTGATTTACACACACACAAACACGAGCACATTTTATCTAGGGTTGGGTATCAAGGGGAATTTTATGCATGAAACTAGAGAACTTCCTCACAACATTAACAATATAGTATGCATAATTTCAATGTGAAGGCGAGAAAAACGATGAGAAGATTTGATTGATTACATTGCATATTTTTATTTTCGCTGGCAAATTAATGAAAACCATATAGGAAAAAAAAGTATGTGCGTCTTAAATTGCTGTGTGTGTGTTTCGTGACATTCAATGGTTCTTTTTACGGTTGTTATTGCTGAAGTCTTTTAATTTGACTAATTAAGAAATTATCTTGCCACCACATTTTGCTGTGTCTTGCTTCTGTAAATCACGAGAAGGCTAAACACACATGTGGCAAAAATTGGATGGAGACAATTTTTCTTCGCCTTATTTTTAATCATATTTTCATGGTGGGTCAAAATCATGTTAGACAACAATTATAGTCCATTAAGTTTTGGGAGCGAATTAATTCAGCATGAGATTTGCAAAGTCTTGAATTGTTGTGGCATTGCATTTTTTTTATTCTGTGTAGAAATTCTGAATTCACACTTAATACCAGAATGTCATGGGATTGTCCCAAGGAATACCCTAGGAAATTCCATCGAATATAAACATTGAATCATTTTTTTTATTTATTTCAAAATACGCTCGAAAAAATGAGAAACAGAAGCACGAGGAAGGCAGAGTAAAGACTGTGCAAGCAAGAGAGCGGGATAAACGATCAAAGTAGAACGCGTTTTATACACATTTTAGTTGGAATTCATGATTCCAGTGATCCAGTTAACGAGTTCTGGAATATATGCAAAACTTTGGGCTGAGCCATCGCATTCTCCGGCATAAATGAAAGAAACAGTCCCTATGACGGTAGTTTCTCCTGATTCGACGACGGCTAAAGCTCCGCCGGAATCGTAGTTGCAAATGGTACTCTTGGGTGGAGTTAAATCCTCTGCACAGATTGCTTTAGTCTCTATGACAGTACTGTATTCAGCTTCACAAGCAGCTCTTGTTATCACTGTCAATTGTATGAAGTTCATCCTATTCGATGGTGAGGCTGTCATGGAATTGACGGTCACTCCAAATCCCGCAACTGTGGCTGTCCATCCTGCGTATTTATCTCGATCTGTTGAGTAGCTTGGTAACTTGATAGCTTTGACGTATGCTGTTCCGAGATCGAAGGGTTTCGTCTTGAGGAGAGCTATATCGCTGTCTCTGGTGGATGAATCGTAGTCCGGATGAACGAAAATATTCTGTATTGGCACAGAAGTTTTCTGACGAGCTTGATTTGCTATCACAGAACCAGCTTCTACGTAAACGTAAACGACAACGTAAGGCAAGGGATTCTAGAAGGAGATAAATCATCAGTTTGATTACTTCTTAGTGAAGCAAGTTTCACTTACTGGATCTCTGGTTATACAATGCGCAGCTGTTAGAGTCCACTCTTCGTTGATGATGGCTCCGCCGCACCAGCCAATGAGCAGGAAACTACTCACAAGGAATCCATATACAGTCAGGCGAACTTGATAGGGAAATTGAGTGTCAACTGCTGGCTGTCCTCCGATAATTCTAGTCTGAGAGTTAGGTTCAGCACTCAAGGTTTCTGTCAAAGAACCTGACAGGACAACCAAAAGACTAGTTGCTAATATGAAGAAATATAAGATCTTCATTGTGTCGAAAGAATACATAAACTGCCTTCAACAGTGTCTGCACTCTTGCTTTTATACTTTGTCTTATGATATGGAAAAGGAAGCCATAATTTTGGGAGGTGAAGGATAAATTCTGGTTCTAGATAGTCAAAATGTTTGTGCTATTTGCATTTTGATTTATTTCAATGAACTCAAATGGCTGTCGCCATTGGTGTGTGTGGTTTAACGACCTGCGGAATGCTTAGCCACTTGTGATTCCCGTCACCGTTGTGATCCAGGGCATGACACGAGCCACGATAGTCCAGCCTTGAGGAGAACCGTCACAGCTTCCACCAAAATTGGATCCTGTGAAGGATTGAACGCCAATGAGCTGTAGGCGAGGGGCGTCCTTGATGTGCAACGGGCCGCCGTTGTCGTAAGAGCAGACAGAACCAATGGGATCAGTCATGTCCACGGCGCACATGGCTGACGAGGGAATGGAGGCGCCCAGATCATTTGCGCAGACGGCTCTGTCAATCACTTGCTCCTCTATCTTGTAAAGTATAGAACTTGGCGCCCCAATTTCGGTGTCTGTGGTAGGACCCCAGCCAGAAGCGATAACAATTTGTCCGTTGTATTGGTTGATGTTAGGATTATAGGGCGGCAGCTCGATGGGCCTGATGAAGGGATTGATAAAGTTCCATGCGCCGGTTCTTATGAGGGCTATGTCCTCACCGAGACCTGGCGAATTGTAGTTTGGATGGAAGACAAAGTCTACGAGTAAAACCAGCTGCGACTGAAGACCATCGGCCTGGTCAAGGGAAGCGGCGATTACCAAGTAAGGCAAAGGTTCCTGCAAGAGAATGAGTGTTAGGTTGATGCTTTGTAAGAGTGCAGGCCAACTTACAGGTTGTCTTGCGAGGCAGTGTGCAGCTGTGATGACCCAATTTGTTCCTATAATGCTCCCGGAACACGAACCAAGAATGAGAATAGCACTCAAAACCAGTCCAAGCATGGTTATTTTAACTTGATAGGGGAATTCATTGAAAAATGCTGCTGTTCCATGGATGACCCTTGGCTGAATCTGATGGTTGGTTTGGTTGATTTTGTTGTTCTTCAATGCTTCTTTGAACTTCATCAGCATTTCGGGTGAATCGAGATTGGCTGGAATCTCAGGATTTTCAGATTCCACCGGAATTCCGAGACATGGCGCCAAGGCGACAGCAAACACAAGACAAAGAAGAAACTTCATGTTGTCACTGGGTAGTTTTTCACTGATTCCTTCAGGGTTTCTGCTCTTCTTTTATACCCATTTTTTCTTTAAATTTGCTTTATCAGAGGAAGACATAACTTTTAAGACAAGATAGGGAAATTAATAAAAGTATTGTAAACAAATTTGTTACGATAAAGAGCGCGGTTTGAGATTGAAACTATTCGGAAGTCATAACTTGCAGTTGAAGTGGATAAAATGTCTAAAAAAGGAACAAGTAAACAAGTTAATAATTTATTTTCATATCTCAATGCTCTATGTACGAATATTTTATAGAAAATAACACTCACTCAAGGGTTAACATGTAAATTTTTCTCACAGTGAATTCTTTTCACTTTGAACTCCTATCAATATTTTCTCTTTTCACTGGAGAAAATTTGTATGAATTTCACTTGGTGAGACAATTTTTTTGTGAAAGATCGACGTCAATTTTCCAAGTGAACTCGAGAAACAATAGTGTGACTTTTTTCCATCAATTTTCCCCGGTTAATGTTATTCACAACTATTGCAATGCAGCTGAAATGCAATTCAGGCGTTTAATCTCACCATTTGTTGAAAAATATTCACAATACTGGAGAGAATTATATATTTTTTCACTCAATAAACAAGGATATAAACTGAGAATGGCACATTTTGCACCCAAACTATAACATAAGCTCGATGTTTATTTATGTACAAGCACTCGTATATCTGCCATGAGAGCTCGTTAAAAGTTGTGTTTGCATAATGTAAAGCATTATAATCGTATTACATGTCGAATTATTATGTTTCTGAACTACTTCTGTAAGCCAACAGTTGAGTTAAAAACTTCAGAATATCATATTTACAGTTGGGTAAAGTTTTTGCCTATCAATAACTTATCAGTAATCACTTTAATCGCTTTATCAACTCTCATTTGGGAGTGTTTTCCATGACGCAGAGCAGCTTTTGCGCCAATTTTTGAGCTCATTTTGCTATTGACGTCAGAAATATGTTTAAAGATTCTCAATATGTCAAAGAACAGAAATACATTGAATGAATTCAAATAATCTCATCACTCTAAACAGTCTAAATTTTGAGTTAGTTTTGTTGCCACAGCGTCAGTTAAAAGCTAACATCATGTCAGTTTTTTAACACTTGAAGTACAGAAGTCCTGAAAAATTGATAATAATATTATTCAGCTTCAAAAATCAAGCTAGACTTTGTTGAAAAGAATTTTTAAATAAACATTAGCAAGAAATTTTGCAATTTGTGACTAACATTAATCCGGTTCGAAGAACCAAACTGAGTTCTCAACAATGATTCTATGTGACGAACACAAGTTTAAATTCAATAGAATTTCTACCAGTGAACTTAATAATATGGAGAGCAATTGAAATCCTCATAGTTTGCATCTCTCTTGACAGTTTTAATAGGTAATAGTTTCGAGAACAGTTTCAATCAAGAGCACAAGCTGTTCTCAAGGTGACTAAATTCCCCGTGGGAAGACAAATGGCAAGTGCGATTTGGCATTGAAATTGTGCCCAAGAGTTGTGCCAGAAAGTGCAGAGTTCACACTAATATTGGGCGAAAAGGCTTACCTGCCGCCACGGGGGATGAAGTCACCCCTCTCTCGTGCTTTTGGGGATTAATGGGGCGAGAGACCACTGCAGTGCCTCCCAAACTATGCTTTATCTCCACTGTGATGTGGCTAAATGGCTCCAATGAATCAATTTTGACTCGGTTGGTCATATATAGAGCCCAGAGAGAGAGAGAGAGAGAGAGTGAGTGAAAAGGTGGCTCGAAAGTGTGATGAAAGGCGCACAATAATTCTGACTGCATAAAAGTGGTGCAATATGAATATTATGTGTGCGGTTTTCATTTCATATGATGAATATATGTTGAAATGTGTTACAAGGTCAATAAATGGGAGACAAAGTACAATGAGGCAATTTTTCCATCAAGAATTGATGAGAACATTGAGGAGAATTTTGCTAGTTGTGAAGCAAAATTGAGGATGATTTTATTGATTTCACTAGAGCGGAAATTTCCTGCTGTTCCTTTCATCTGTTGCTCCATTTCTCCACTCTCGGGTCTGCCTTGTTAGTGTTATTTTTAAAAATAGTGCGTTGGGGAATTGCGAAAACGTCGCTTAGGAAAACTCACATGTTAGCAAGTCACTCTGGGCATTATTGTTGAAGCTTTGATATCCGCCTCGTTGTGTGTCTTTCAATATATAGATTTTTCCTGTGTGGGCCGCAATGATATGATATTTATATTTCCTCCATATGAAAAACAGCTGTTGCACTTTTTTCCGAAAAAAAATAAAATAATGAAAACAGTCAGAGAATTCCTCTGATGGTCGCATATATATTGATTTAACACAGGGTGTGCTATTCTCAGATATTGGCAGATTTTGTCATTGTGAAATGCCTGACATTCGAACAGTCATATAGGTTCAAATAGCATTGTTTGCCTTGATGGCTTGGATGGAAAAGCAATGGTGAAAGACGGAAATTTCGATTGTTTTGACTGTCAGCGAGTTAAGTAGGTTTCTTCGGTATAAATTGGAGGCTGATTGAACAGTTAGTCTCTGCACAAGTACATTGTTTATTTTCATACACTCATCTGATCTCATCCAGTGGCGATAAAATACACATTTCATGGTGTATTTGTGGATTAAATTACATGTAGACTTAGCTGGGAAGTGAATCACTTTGTTATAAACGCTATGAGAAGTGAGAAAGAGAGATTAGCGATATTGTCATATGACAATCCATGAGAGTCTCATAAGATAGTCGCATATGGTCACAAAACATTTACCTATCGAATTATTGTCGTTGAACAAGATGTTTTTAATTTATAACATCCTTAACTTGTTTGATAAATCATAGAGAGCTTGATGGACAATGCGTACGACATTCTGATGGACAATTGAAAGAAAGTCGTATGATATACTTATACATTATTTTATATTAAATAAGATTTAATTTTTTTCTTCTTCTGTCCGTTAAATTTTATACCTGTGAGATGTGGTGTAATTTAATTTAATCTTTTACTGACTTCAACACCACACTTCATGATTGTTGCTTAATTGATCTGCGAAATGAGAGAACTTTCTTAACTGTAGTTAGTCGGTTTGCTCGGTAAATTTCCGCCTGTCTCAATTGAGGAATGAGGAAAAAAACCAACATCATACCAAAACATGATTTCATGAAATGTTGGCTGATATGCTAAATTTTTAATTACATTCCACCACTTATCTAATGGTCGAGAGTGTAAATTTGATATGTCACACTTGATTACCGGCGTGGCTGTTTTTTTTTTCTGTGTGCTATTGGTGAGTTTCCCCGGATGATTTTCCATGGATGGGGAGGAAAAAATGAAGGTGTTTTCCATCAACTTCCCAACCTTTCTTTGAGTTGATGGTATGATTTTGTAAACATGAGAGGAGAGTGAGGTTTTTTCTCTCTCTCTGTGTGAAATCGATAGGAAAGAAGTTGTCTATGTTTGACGATGTATTTCAGCATTTATAAGTGTATAAATTATGGTGTATAAAAGCACGATAGTCGCTGTAGTAATACAAATCGTGCTGTGTCGCTATTATCTAATCACATGGCGCGATTTTTTTTCTTCAATTTCTTTTGAATTATGATCAAGCTCGCTGCAAAAAAAAAATCACATACAAAATTGTGACTCAACATGAATTGTACACAAAACGCATGGCGTTTTGCGAAGTGAGAAAGGCTGTGAAGAAAAAAAAAAAGCGCGAAAATGACATGAGAGAGAGACAAATTAACACATGAATCTCTCACAGCCACTAAATATTATTATAAATATTGGTAGGCAAATAGGTGGTGCGCCAGAGGTGGGGGTTACGTCGAGGTGACGTCAATTATGGTATGATCGCACTCGTGAGCTTAATGGAAAGGGGGGAAAATTAATTTTGACGAGTGGGCAGAACGAGACAGAGACTCGCCGTGTGTGTGTGTGTGTGTGAATGATATTTTCGCCCAGAGACTCCAACATTTTGTTCATTATCACCTAGTCTATGGACAGATCGTTGAGTAAAGTGTGCGCGTGCTTGAGATCGATTTCGAACAACTCGCAGTTATTAATAATTAATAAGTGTGGTGAAGCATTTATCGATAAATTTTGATCATTCTAAGCATAAATTCACGTGGAATATAAGAAAAAAATAAGAGAGAATTTATCTGATGAATTTACATCTTAAGGACAGCAAAAATTCAACTCTGTGACATTTTCAGCTGTTTCTCTTTGCCGTGGTGTTGTACAAAAGGCACGATTTATCTCCTATATTTGCACAGAAAACGTCTCTATTTCATCATCAAGTATCTCCAGAAGTTGAATGGAATGGAAAATAAAGAGGGGCAAATGAGTGTGTAAGAGAGATGCGATTGAGGTGTGCGATAAGAAGAGGTGAATACGATAGGATGGGATGATAAGGCGAAAAGGAAAAGAAAGAAAGAGATTGATGAAACACACGGAAGAAGGAGACTAATTACAAGTTTAATTTTTTTTTCCCCACTGCAGTGTTGTGATAAACATATATGTGCCTTCGCGTTATCAGTGGATGATGAGAGGGTGTGTGTGCGCGATAAGGGTGAGAGATAGAGAGGAGAATGGCAGGAAAGAGCTAAAAGTGGACTGTTGAAGTTGTTACCAAAGTGAACGCACGAATTTTCCGCGGAGGGACAAAGAATTTCCTCCTGGAGACTTTTTCTTGACCAATAATTATTGTGAAGTTTCTGTGTACCTTAGCAAGAGTCCAAAATATACAAAGAGCAACTGAGAGAAAGAGGAGTGAATTGTGTGGAGGAAATTCGTATGCCAAATGAAGTGAATTTACGGACAAGAGAGACACACAAAGGAGTGGATCAACAAGTACTTTTGGTGTGACACACAGAGTCACACTGTATATTGAGAGGACAGAAGAAATTACCATAAGAGCCAAAGCGCGGCAGCGCGCGTCTCTCGTTCCAAATTTAAATGTTGCGATCTCCAGCTCACATAGTGGGTCACGGTCCATCAGCAGGTGGAGGTGGGATTGTGGGCATTCATTCACATCCATCGCCACAGACGCACGCCAGAACATCGCTGTTCGACTCCTGCCACCGGAAGATCCGTCTGATCGGCAATGGACCGGTAGCGTTTCTCGGTGGGCTCGTTGCGTAAGTATGATACTCTTCTAAGCCAACAATGGGGGCTCTCCTGATGATATGCGCGGTGTTTGCTCGCTGGGATGCTCGGACGATCGCCCGCATAGGTTGCGAAAGAGGCGCAAAAAAGTAATGATTTATGGACGATGAAGTGTGATTGGGAGTGATTTGATCTTTTGAAATATTAGTGTTAAAGATCATGTAATTCTGCGCTCTTGGATGGCGACATAAAAATGTGAGGTTAGCCAGAGAGAGAGAGAGACAGAGAGGGAGGATGAAAATTTAGGAGTTTCGCAAGGTTGCGAAGAAATTACAGTAGAAGTTGGTCTGGGTGTCTTGGAAGCACTTTTCTAAAATGTTGTCATACTTTATTGCTGTTAAATAATTCTTTGAAATCAATTAATTCATATCGTTTGTGGAATTTTGATTAGAGAAGAAATTCAACCATAAAGTCCACTTTTACATACAGGAATAGAACGCGAATGGCAATTCTAGTGAAGTGTATATTTCGGCTGGAACATTTAACTGCAACCATTTTTTGGGCTTTTTGAATTTTTTCGCGTTCTCACTTAAAGAATTCTTCTGTTGCAATACTGAAGTGTCGCCAGAATTCTTAGTGGGCGGAGCTTGCAAAGGGGCGTGGCGTTATTCAATTAAACTACAAGCTATTCAAGGTTTCAGTCACTTTATCTAATTATTTTGATCGTGTGAATTAACATCTCGATCAGTTCACTGTGTGGAATTCCTTAATTCCACGTCAAATATGATATATTTCAGGTAATAAAAAAAATTGATGTTTTTAATTTTAGATATTATACGACTAGTGTCTCACTTTTTTATGCTATTGCAGAGCCGAAAACTCGTGGCTCTCTCGCAATGTGTGTTATATTTTTTTCCACATATCGCGCTTGACGTGTTTCAAAGAATTTTTCCACCAAAAATCACTGGTGAGAAATTAATTTCGTCCATGTGTCGCTCCGGACGCGATGTGTTTGTGATTGATATTATGGGTTAAGGTGGGCATTTGTGGTTTGAATTTAGATTGAGAGTGCGTCAGTTGTCCTCACTCTTGGCTGTTGCACTGTTATTATACAAGAGGTGTTTCACCATTCGCGGCTGGGTATTATTTCAGCATTGCGCGTCTCGTCTGGCGCGCGGAAAGGCGCTTTGATAATAAGTGGACCAGCGATGATATGCGTCTCTTTTCACTTTCTCAATTTCATAAAATACAAAAAGAGAGCAAGCGAGAGAGAAAGAGACTTTTTGTACTCAATGGACCGAACGCGCACGGCTAGAATTGTGAAAGTGAAAGTGATTCGCTTGAGCCTCTGTGTTTTGGGATATGAGAATATCACGGTCAATTATGTTTTGGCCAAAGTGCGCCTTGCTTTCCAGTCCTCAATTCTTGCAAAGACACAGAGAGAGAGAGAGAGAGAGAGATAAAGCGCGCTTAATGAGTCATGCATCGTCATTATGAATATCATATTGTGCGATGTGGGGTTGTCGAAAAAGGTCTAACTGTTTTGTTTTTCAGGAAAGCTAACAGAGTGTTGTTTATCGGTTTTCATACACTAATAATTTATTTGTTTGCTGCATTAGTTATAGCCCCAAGGTCTTGTCATAAAGTCACCGCTGACATGACGCACTCGCGAGCGGGATGAAAAGTAAATTTCCTCAATTACCATCCAATTTCTTGTGCACTTCCCTTTGCACTCTGCCAGAGAAAAAGCACTCAGCAAAGGAGGGAGTGCGGGGTGGCTTTGAAAGGGGTTGCAGAAGAAGTGACCTTATTTAAAGTGTCAGTCTTGCGAAGAATCTCTCTTCCCAGTCCAAGGTGGTTTTGGTGGAAATCAAAAGAATAGAATCTCATAATAGATTATGGGAAGAAGAGAGTTTTGCAATACGGTAAAATTGTAGCAATGGAGGTTCTCTCTCTCTCTCATCTCATGAATATTTAAAGGAAGAAAGACGTGACGAGGCAGGGAAAGAAGAAGTTGTGTTGTGGTGAAAAAAAAGAAGAAAAAGATTGCTCATGTGCTGTATTTGACCGTTATAATTGCTTCTTATTGTACTTTACTGTCTCTCATTGTCTGCACAGAGTGCAGAAGTGGATTATTCTCTTTGATTTCTCACATTTAGCACATCGGTTTGGAATTGTACAAAATAATCGTATTCACACAGCGTACAATTTCACAATATTCCTCACGTTCGTTTGGTGTGTCTTAAGGAGGTCTGTTTTTTCTCCGTGAGGCCACAAGAGAATGACTCAGAATTGAAGGCTAATCCCAAAAGGAGGCTCTCTGTCGAAAAGAGTGTCCTTTTGACAATAAATCGCATTGAGTGTCGCACAGACAATCAACTCTTTCTCTATCTTTCTCGTCTCTGTGTCTGCGTGGCGACGAGTATTTGATTGTCATGTCGTCTTGAGGCTATTTTAATTAAGATGTTATTGAGGCAAAACTGCCGTGCGCTTGTTCCTGGACTGGTGAATTGTTACAAACAACTCTCTGTTTGAGCAATGTTACATTTTTGTGCGTTGTGCACAAATATTTTGGGGCCATTATATATATATATATATGACGGGAAAAGATGGGAAAATGAGTTGTGTTGACAGCTTGACTGGCTTCCCATCAGAGCGGATAATCCCTTTTTAAACACACCTTAACAGTGGATTTTCCACATCTTCTCTTTTTCCCGACTTTAATTGCTACTGTAATTCTGCTGCATGAATTCTTCATTTTTTCTTTGAGATTACGTGGAAACAGTAATGTCAAATCAGATTGTATTTTTACATACAAGTGAATTCAGGAAAATAAATTTGTCAATTTGGAAATGATGTGTGATTTTGTCATGCAGAAATCCAATGGAATTGTCTAAAGAATATGGGAATGTCGTGTGCAAATCCACTGACGATTCTTATAGCATTTATAAAAAAAAATAGATCCAAAAAGATCTTTTTTCATTACTTTAGAATCAAAAATCCCCTTCAAAAGTATGAAAAGAAATTTGAATAACATTTTTTAAAGTGCGTTTTATCAAATTCATATAAATAATTATAAACTCTTCAATTAGCCAAAGTTCTCTTCAGTGTTTTGCTGGAGTTTTGAGTAACAATTAAAAAAACCACTCTTATTGAGTGCTGTTGACGTGGAATGAATCATTTTGGAAAAACATCACGTTTGTTTGCTTATCACTTGTCACCGGGGAGGAAAAATAATTGCCCACGTGGAAGAAGAGTCAGTGATCTCGAATGTGAGCATCTGCAGTAATGATTATTATTATGAGTTCGTCAGCAGTGGGTTTGTTGAGTGAATTGACGCGATTTATCCCCATTTAATTCTAATATTATATGTACTTATCGTTGCCACGCGTAATTACAAGGAATTACGCGTGTTTCTGATGAGAGAATTTGGTGGCTTTGTGCGTTTTGTCGTGAGACACAATGGCAATTTTGGGTGGAACTTGTGTGTGTGTGTGTGTGTGTGTGTGTGGAAATGTTTGTAACGCATTTTTCTCCCTTTCTTGTGCCATTGCAGAAAGGCCCGCCGCAAGGAGAGAGACGGTGACCAAAACGCAGGTGATACTAAGCTATATTTAGAAGAAAATGTTCTCGAAAGGAAGCTGCCGGATGCGGATTTGAAAGCAATAGTGGATCTACCGCCAGGCTTAGACTATAACGAATGGTTGGCGTCACACAGTGAGTCTCTGTTCCCATTTTTTTTTTTCACATGCCTCGAGGGTGAGAGGAAAGACAGTGGAGAATTAATGGCAATTTCTTTTCCACCTCCGCAGCATTGGCACTCTTTGAGCATGTCAACTTGGTGTACGGAACTATAAGTGAATTCTGCACGACATCCGGATGTCCAGATATGACTGGACCAGGAACAAGGTGAGTCAAAGACACTTCACAGCCTCGACATTGGGCTTTTGTCAAACATGATTTTTCGGTTGTTCACCATCGACAATGGGAATTGCCGCGGGAAGAAGAAAAAAACACACACACACACACAAAAATTGCCTGCTTTTTTTGTGTGTCTCTCTGTTTTACCTTTGAGATCATCTCTTGTCTCGCCATCTTCAGAGCCACTTTTGAGAATTTGATGTGCGCACAATATGAAAGGGAAAAGACTCCATAATGGTTTGAACAATGGAGATGATGAAGAGGCTAAAATGTGAATTACAGTCAAAATTTCTTCGGCAATTATTGGCTCAGCTGATGAGTCACCTTGTTAATTTATTGTATGGTACTTTTGGCCACTTTTTTTCCACCTCAATCTATCGTTGCTGGCAAGTTTGTGCCATTTGGACGCACGGATGGGTGAAATTTGGTGAATTCTTTTGTAATAAGTCGAGTGGAAAAAGACTCTGTGTGGCATTAGCAATTTATTTCCGTGGTTTACAAAAGGGAATTTTTCCTTAACGTTCTTTTTGTGGGAATGACTAAAGATGTTAGAATAATTTGCTGGAAATTAATTCCACACAAAGTGCTTAAGATTTGAGATTTTCATGTGAAATCCACAAAGTTTAATATGATGGTATTTTTATAAATATATATTTTCCAGCCAATGATTTGAAATTTGACAAACTATTGAGACAAAGGAAAAATCGGACTCGAATTCATTCGATTTTCGGTAGAAATTCAAGAATAATCTGGTTGAAATCCGATTAACGAAACTTTTCGTCTTGATTTTGAACGGAGAAGGATAAAATTAAGATTAGCTGAGTATTTTATCCTTTAGTTCTTAGAGGAATTCTAAGTTTCTCTGTCAATTAAAATTAAATTCAGTCTTAAAGCCAATTTATCAAAATAATAATGATTTCAAAAATTTATCAAAAGAAGAGTAGAATTGAAATTATACTGCGATGTGTGTCAAAAAGACTTCAAAATTTGTAGATTTAGGTTAATTGCAAGACCTTTTAAAGAAGATAATTTCAAGATAATGCATTTTCTTGGTTCAATAACTCATTTTTCTCAGTGTTTAATGTTTTTGCTGTATAAAAACAATATCTATTAACGTGTTTGGCAGAAAACCTCAATTAGAAATTAACTATAAATGCCTTCAAGGGAGAGGACCATCGATTTGGTCCATGTTTATTTTGTCTGGCTCGTGAAAATCGTGCAATAAGAGGCAAGATGAACCTGCCATAAAGTGGCGATTTGATGTGATTTGACCACTAATTCTGCGTCACTTGTGCTCTGTTTCTTTTCAAGAATGTACTTATGGTTCGATGAGAAGGGCAAAAAGACTCGCGCGGCAGCGCCACACTATATCGACTACGTAATGACATTCACGCAGAAGACAGTGAGCGACGAATCTATTTTCCCCACCAAATATGCCAATGAATTTCCCAGCTCCTTCGAGAGCATCGCCAGGAAGATCCTCAGGCTCCTGTTTCATGTGATTGCTCATCTGTATGCGGCGCATTTTCGCGAAATCGCACTGCTCGGCCTTCATGCGCATCTCAATCTCACGTTTGCGCATCTCACGGCGTTGCACAGGTGAGTGTTTTTGCTGTTTATTTTTTCTTTTCCTCTTGCATGGCTTCCGAGGGTGAATTTTGTGATTTAATTTTATTATTCTTTCTTGTGTTGCGCAACTCTTGCGATGCTCGCGTGGGTTCAATTGGCGCACAAACGCCAGTCGTCGGTGCATTTTAATTGATCACCGAGAGACTTGTTGATCTTGGATTAGATTTTCTTGTGATTCTTGAGTGGTTGTTGAATTGCCAAGGGGGAGATATTTGGTGATCTGTGACAGTCAAAATGTTTCACAGTGCAATTTTGGTGTCTAAACAGTCTGGAATGTAATGGAGTGTAATTATAAAGGAATCCAGGTGAATTTCCTTGGGATTTCTTCTATTTATTCTCTTAAGAAGATCACAATCTTCTGTAGAAAATATTGAAGATACAGAAGTCTAATGGAAGTGTTAAAGTTTATCTCTCCCTTGAGAATTTCCATTATGTGGAGAGAGAGAGAGAGACGACAGAGGCGAGAGAAATTGGGGCTCAGCCTATCTTTGAAAAGTGAAAGACACAATGAACAATGATTGTGTCTATTGTTAACTTTGCTGAGACCCCGAAAAATTGCCCGCAAATCTAACATAGAAAACATGTTTTTCTTTTTTTTTCTCTCCTCATGAAATTCGATGAGAAATTTTTATGTAAATTCACCTTCTATAGTTTTTTTTCTTAATTTTTCATTCAATTGGATCTGTTTTCCTTCGTGTTGTTGTTTTTTCGTGAAAACCGGAAAATATAAAGGAACAAACAGGCAAAGAGAATCAATTACAATTGTAAATTCTCGAGTAATATTATTACTGAGTCATGGACAAACAGAGAGAGCTTTTGCCATTCAATGAAGTTCTGCTGGTTGTTTGTTCACTTAATTTGCCACTGATCGAGTGATTTTTTTTTGGTGGTGTTTCTTCCATAGTTTTGTGTAGAAGTGTGACAAATATTGATTGAATTAATATTTCACTAACGTGAAGAACGGAAATAAAGAATAAAGTCTCTGTCTGTGGTGAAGCTAATTGGTTTGGCAGCACAAGACGCGCTTAGCCAATTAATGGCGATGAATCATATTGAGTTAAAGTTGACACTTTCTTGGCTTTGGCCCTTCATTTGGATTCATCAAGTGCAACAGAAGAGGTCAGATTTGTCAGAATGGGACGTAAATTAGCAGTGCGATGAAGGTTTTGTGGGAAAAATAGCAGTTTTTTTTAAGTTATGTTTAGCGAACAATCTGAGCTTGTCTGAAGAAAATCCTCCAAAACTTGAAGGACTTTGTCAGCTTCTTCATCTGATATTGTGATAAATTCATCAATTTGATATAAATTAAATGATAAAATAGAAAAGAAATACGAAAATATTTTCCAAATTTCATAGTAATTCATTTTTATTGACTCTTCATTCACCATTTTGACATTTGAGACAAATAAGGGAGAGCGGGGCAGAATTGGGAATGGAGCAAATGTGGTATAAACCTTTTTTGAATAGATAATTGTACTTAAGCTACATAAAACCTATATTTTCAATTATATAGCGCTATTAAAGTTAATGTTTTTGTTCATTTTATACGTGGAGTTCTTGGAAGAAAAGCAAATATTGAAGAGATTTAATTTTTTGTCTCTGCTAAATTACAAAACTCAATGAAAATCCTTTTTTGATAATCTATTGGCACTGAAAAAATATTCTTCACAGTTATTCATAGACTGTCTTTATCATTCCTTTGGGAAAAATTGCAGTTCGAATGTGCCCCGAAATTGTCCAAAATTGCCCCACAGTGGGGCAGTTTTGAAGCTAATAATCAAGAGAATTAAAAAGGCCAAATAGAATCTTTTTGGGGAAATGCTTCGAAAGTTAATATTAAAAGTTTCATAGTAAACTTCCTTGCTTTTCCCTATATTTAATGATTTTTAGAGTTTCTGCCAGAAAAGTGGAAAAAAAATCTCTGAATAGACCAAGAAAATCCACTTGAAACTGTAAATTTTTCACAGAATTGTACCAAATTAGGGAAAAGAATTCAAAATTTTCCACATACGGCAGTATTTGATGAATCCGACGAACCTTTTGTGTCTTGACGTCTTGACTGTCTTAACAATTTGTCAATTTCTTGCGCTAAAGCCGCTGTTTTTTTCTGCCTCCGCAGACGCTTCAACTTAATCGAATCCAAGGAGACGGAAGTGCTGCGCGATCTGGAAGTGGCGCTCCGGCTCACAGACGATTGCCTTACGCCGCAGACGCCGGCCGCGAGCCAGGCGGCGGCGGCGGACGCGCCGATGGCCGTGGAGGGTGGCGCCGAGGAGCACCAGATCGACGGCGACGCCTCGGTGCGCCCCATCGTGACGCAGCCCGAGTGCTGCACCAGCAACTTCGCGGCCTTCCACCCGGCCGCCGGCCTAGGCGCCCCGCCGCAGTCCTCGTCGCAGCACACGCCGGCCTAGGCCGCCTGCGCACCTTAAGCCAATGTTTTGACCATTGTGATGTATCCTTTGTTAGTTCTTTTTTTTTTAATTACCGCAGACGAGCGAAAGCTGTTAGTTTAGAGGCGAAGCGTGTGCAGCCAATAGCGCCCCCTTTCACCCGCTGTCGCCCTCAAATCGCCGCTCTGGCGCGCGTCAATTAACTGCGGAAAGGGTGGGAAGTGTGGGGTGGACGTCATTGAGACGTTTTCGCGGGGGAGTGAAGAAGGTGCGATTTGGGGTTTTTTATCAATAATATGAAGAATTTGCGAGTTTGAAGGCCTGCATTTGGATTGTCCCAATGATTTTCAGTGTTGTGCAGAGGAAAAGCGTGATTTGGAGAAGCTTCTTTTGGATGTTTTTCACCAGAAAACACTCATGGAAGTGATTTGAGGGTACTTTTTGTTCTCTTTGAAGCAACAAAAAAGTTTTTAGTGACCGAAAATCAGTGAAATTATTTGAATTTTCGCAAGAAATTATTATTATTAATTATTATGCTTTCAAATGATTTTTTTTCATAGAAATCTTGACTGAAATGATTTTAGTGCAGTAAATAATTTGTCAACAATTACTAAAATATTTTTATTGCACACAAAAAGATTATAAAACACAGCGTAAAAATGATAATTTCTATCTGAATTTTAAAAATGAGTTAAAGAAAGTGATTTTATTGGATTTTATCGAGGCGAAAAGAGCCTGAAAAACTGTTCAAAAAGCGATAAAATGTCCTCATTTTGCTGATTAAACTTCAATAAATGCTTCCATGAGTGTTTCTTCGGCTTTTCTCGTGCGCATCAACGTGAGAAAATGATGCGAGTTTGGGGAAAAGTCAACAGCTTCTGGTCAAATGACGCCATCCGGAATTGCTTTTGCGGCGCGCGATGAGTTCATGATGATGCAAAAGGCCGATGATGAATCACTTTGTGGCGGAGAGAATCTGCAAAAGGTCACCTTTTGGACATGACGGCGCTGAAGAAGTGTTCAATTGCACGCGCGCGCGCGACGGGAAAAGTGGAGGAAAATGATGTGAAAAATGCGCTATTTCTTGCTTAACTGTTTGCGGCTCTTTCATCATCGAGTACTTAAAAGAATTCAATTTTTCAAGTTCTAAATGAGATGAAAAAAAAATATATATATATTAACATTTAATGCGACACGTTCTGTCTTTTAGGGGGAAAAGAAAGGGGAAAAAAAGAAGATTTTTAGAGAAGATTGAAAAGCCAGCGTTCTAAAGAATTTAATCCCAATTTCAAGTGAAAAAGGAAAAGAAGAAAGAGCGAGAGAGAAAAAAAATCATATAAAAATGATGAACTTAACCTTTAAAAAAAACACACACACACACAATTAAAGAAAATGTTACTAAAGATGATAAAAATTTATGTAAATAAGATGCAAAAAAAAAAGTTTGCCGAGATGATAAATTGAATAACACAAAAAAAGATGACGTGAAAAAACTGCTATTTAGAAGTTGTTATTTAATTATTATTACAGCAGATTTAATGGACAGAGAAGAGATAAAGAGAGATGCTAAAAATGATTGATAAGATTTATTGTAAATAAAGTGACACAAATTATTCATATACAAAAAAAAACACAAGAAAGCAAGCGAAGAAAAATTAACTATCATTAATTTAGATGAGAAAATGCAAGAATTTTTCAATTTGTATATACCAAATGAACAATTAATATAATTATGTCCTATTTTATCCTCCCTTTTAATTTAAAAACAAAAAAAGAAAAACAAAGTACATTTATTATATTCTAGAAATTCAACTTTTAGTTCTTTTTTCTAATTTCTCTGTAGGTTTTTTTCTTTCAATTTTACCTTCTCTCAACAAAAGTATCACTCTTTAAATTTATATTAATTAAAAATATTATTGTGTGCTGTTCTCAAAGTGCATAGAAATTTTGTATATATTATACACAGGAAAAACACACACACAAAACAACAGAAAACAAGTTCACATAACAAAGTAGAGGAAAAAAAAAAGATTTCAAACACACATGATTGAAGATGGTAATAAATGTTATGTAAATTTAGCAAAGAGATAGTAAGTTATGAGAAGGAAGAGAAGAAATACACTATAAATGAATAAATATTTGAGAAAAGAGTAAAACAAGCAGCCAAAGTGTTTCGGAAAAACCTTGGATTTTGCGGCAGAAATTGATTTTGGACGCCATGAATTGCGAATTGATTCACTTCGGCTCGCCGTTGAGGTACAAATTGACAGAGTCTTTGTCTCCAGAGAGAGACATTTCTGGCCAATCTCATGAATGGCGACATATTCAAGAGCGTTCGAGACTTTCCAAAGGATTCCCACAAAGAGAAACTGACAAGGATCAATCATCAGGTGGAAAATGAGGGCAAGTCTAAAACCCTTGAGATCAAATGTGTAGAAATTTTCTGCGTGATAGGAAAAATCGCCTAACGTGTGGAACTGTCCCACGACAGTCCACTGAAAGTGGCCAAATTTTATTGGGCGCGGCGAATTTATAGCACATTTGTGGCGAATTGTCAGATTCAAGGGAAGTTATCACAGTTTCTCACATTTCCGGATTGAACGTACCAAAGGAGTGCAGAGAATTAATTGTCCTGTGATCTGAAGATGGCTGAGAAACCTGAGAAACCCGATCCGCTGGAGGAGCTGACTAAGCAGTTTGTGGACGTGAGTAAGCGACTGGAAGTGCAGCTCAAGAAGCTGCCTCAGGCCCTGGAGGAGCACCGGAAGCTCGCGTATGAGGCTCGCCTGCTGATGGCGACGCACAAGGCGGCCGGGCCGTCAGGCAGTGCAGAAGGGCGAATGTCGCCGGAAACTGTGAAAACTTGCATGGAGGTGATCTGCAGCTTTGCGGATTTGCTGGACTTGCAGGACAAATCCAGGGACAACGTGAACGCCCTTGAGTCGGCCAAGAAGATGAAACGGGACTTGGAACTGGACTTGGGGAAGATGGAAATGATCAGAGGCGCCATTGTGCAGACTGGCAAAGAATCGCAGCAATCGGCCCAAAATCGCAGTGCTGACTTCGATTATTCCACATTAAAAGGCAGCCAAGATTAAACGGCGTTTTCTTCATTACAGGCCAAAAATGAATGATTTGTGCATCTTTATTTATTCCTCTCCTCAAGACTTATTCATTTCCTTATAAATTACGAATTAAAATGCTTAAACGCTTAACTTCATGTAGCAATAAAAGTATTTTCACCTAACTTTACAGTATATTTTTTTCCTTACGTTCTTCTCCACATTTTGGTGTAATTTTAATATACTCAAAGTTTGAATTACATTGATATTAAAGGTAAGTTAATAGTAGATTTTATGTTACTCAACAGCACTACTTGATATATATTTATATATAATTAATCTTTGTTTATTTCCTTCTTCTCTAAATTGATCTTCCACGAATATTCACAATTTATTCACTTTATATTTTTTGTGTTTATGATCAAAAAATATTCTTTATAGCCCACAAATTGTTTTTTCTCTTTTAATTATTATTACGAAAAGCGCGAATGTATATTGCTATTTAATATAAACTCTATGAAGTTGATTTGAAAGAATGAACATTGAAGACTTCCAATGACACATCAAGAAGTTGAATTCTGAATAAAATACACGATATTTATCCCACATTTTCCACTCTTCGTGAGCAGGAAAACATTTATACTTTTTTCCTCTTATGCAGCAATGCAAAAAAAACAATTGTATGTGTGTGACTTTTGTTGATTTTTACGCAGTGTTCTGATAAATACATAGCTTTATATATTGACTAGATTTCTCCCTTTTTCTCTGTGTATTTCTGTTTTTGTAGTTCAACTTTGCTTTGATTCATCCTTGCCAGAATTCAGAATTTAAATTTTAAAAAGTTGGGTCTTTTTGTGTTTATTTTGTCACTTGACTTTTCCTCATCTCTGGTGTGAAAGAAAACTGCCCGCGAAATGACTCTAAAGACTCTAAAACACAAGAAGAGGATGTCTTTCGGATACTGATGTCGGCGCGCGCCTCTTCACACCGCCTCGGCAGCCGCGGCGGGCGCCGCCGCGTCCTACACATACTGATAATTGTCCGTGGGCCTGAGCAGCGGCTCGTGCTCCTGCGTCTTGTCCAGATCGAAAAACGTCATCCAGTCCACGCGATTGGGCTTCACCAGCCCAAAGCAGCCGCACTCCAGGAAGTCCACCAGATTGTTGAGCGGCCCGCGCGTGAACGGGCTCCTGCCGCCCTTCGCCTGAAAGTGTTTGTACCTGCAAAAGGCGGAAAAGACACTGCAATTAGCCTGAGCTTATCCCACCACGTTTACCACAGATTAACTGTCGCATTTCCACCTAATTGTGTGATTAAAATGGTTCAAATCGAAAAGTCACGACTTTTAATGCCTCAAAAGAGCGGAAATTGCTCAAAAATTGGCAGTTTTTCTTGCACTAAAATCAGCATTTTTCACTATTAGTTTGCCTTTTCCTCCTCTTCTTGGGGAAGAAAGATTTCATCTTAATTTTACACTATAATCAAACTATGCATAGTTAATGTCTGAATTCATTTGATTACACAGAAATCTATCTTAATGCTTCTCTATCAATTAATATGATTTTAATCTCAGATTTAGGAATCAAAGAACCTCCAAAATCAATTATTCTTGAACTCAACACTAGAATTACTTTCAAAGTTTTTCAATGTCACTTCATTTTGAAAGCTTTCCGATCCTTTTTGCATAGTTTGAAAGAAAAAGGGCAGTTTTTGCCCTTTCCTAGACATTAAATTTTCTTTTTATACCATTTTCTTCAATTTTATTTCACGCTTTATTGAAACTAAACATGAAAACCCAATGAGGATTAAGGATTTCAACGCAAAGACTTAATAATTGTGCATTCAAATGTACTGAAAAGTAGACTTCTTCGCCTATAAACTATATTAGAGTCTGGAATAAGCGGAATGTTGGGAAGCAGAGGGACTCACCGGTCGCGGTTCATGCGCTCGTTGGTGGTCATGCCCAGCGCCACTATCTGGTAGGTCTGGCAGAGCGCCAGCGTGGCCACCCAGGCCATGTGCAGCAGCGCGTTGGCCATCACCCAGCCGACCCACGGCTGGCACGAGCCGATGGCCAGCAGCGCGCTCCAGAAGCCGTCCAGGCGCATGTCGCACTGCACCTGGTAGAACTGCGAGCCGCCGTACAGCATCCACGCGCACATGAGCATGAGCGCCCACAGGAAGCCCATGAAGTGGCGGTGATTGCCGATGCCCACGCAGTTCTGGATCCACGGGCAGTGGTGATCGTAGCGCGCCACACAGCGATCGCACACGGAGCAGTGCTTGCTGCGCACGGGCCGCCGCACGAGGCAGGATGAGCAGAAGCCGGGCGGCGCGAAGCCGGCGCCGCCGCGCTCGCTCAGCTCGATGATCGTGCGCATCCGCTGCTCCTGCGTGGGCCGGATCACGCCCGGATCGCCGCGCCACGAGCGCAGGAAGCACCACCACAGCAGCGCGCTGCACGCGAGGAAGGCCAGCGACAGCCAGGCCGACACGGCGGGCGCGATGTACACCAGCCACGTGACGTAGAACCAGAATTTGGTGGCCAGGTACACGCTGAGCGGGATGAGCGTCATGAGGTGGTCGTCGAACATGGCGCGCCCCACCGTGTGCGTGACGGCGTACAGACAGCCGAGCAGGAAAAACTTGATGATGTACAGCAGCTCGGCGCTGAACACCAGCCCGGCCAGGTAGAAGACCAGGAACGGCGTGGCCGCCATCGTCCACCAGCGCACGCGCTTGTCCACGGAGCAGCGCACCAGGAAGCTGCGCCGCTGCTGCGCCTGGCCCAGCTCACGCAGCCTCTCCGTCACCTTGGGAGAGATCCAGAACGCGCCCGCCTGCGACTGCAGCATCGACAGCGGCGTGTCGCCGCGCAGATTCGGAATGTCCAGGCTCGCCTTGCCCTGCGGAAGACAAGAGAAATGTCTCAAAGCTCGCAGGATTGCGCACGTGTCTTATTTTATCACATCAGAAAGAAAGCCATTAGATTCGTTTTGATAGTGGAAAAATAATATTCCGGCCTGCAAATTGCTAAAAATTCAATCATAATCATGTCATCGATTTATTAATATGAAGGGAAAATCAATAGAGTATTAAAAAGTCTTCAAAGGAAAAAATAATACGATGCAAATTTCCCTTTGTCTTTGATGTTCGGATAATTGAGCCTCATTATCTGCTTTATGAAATGCATTTCACTTACGTCACGAGGAAAAGAACACACTTTTGATTCGACCTTCCATGTCCTTCGCCTAGATTCAGGACGACGTTTCAGTTTGAGTGCAACAGCGGAACTTAGCGGAAGGATTTTCACTTTTCTGTGCGCAAAATGAAAGTTTCCAAGCAATTGGAGAAATTCAACAGTGAAAAACCAGTTATTGATTTCCAAATCTCCGCTTTAACGATCAACATCTTTTCTGGACCGTGGAAAAATCGACTTTTGGTTGTGATTTTTCCTCTCTGTTCCATTCTTGGATTAATCTTCATAGGAATCCGCCTATATAATTCATTTCCAGTGGAACTGGACATTGATATCATTACGACGACATTGATTTTGCTCGGTTATATCCAGCCTGTTTCAAAATCCTTTCTGGGAGCGTTTGAACGTCGACAATTTTTTGAACTGTTGCATTGGATTGAATTTCTCTACAACGAAGAAGAAACTGATCCTGAGCTGAAAGTGATTTTCGAAAACCATTTGATTCAATCGCTTGAGATTTGGAAATTTCTGACCAAGTAAGAAAATTTATATTAAATTGAAATTCAGTGTGATAACACAAAAAATGCTTTCAGATGGGGAACGCGATTCGCAATCACATCGGCACTAATAGTTACAGCTACAATGACACCGAAGAGCGAGATGGGAATGTATATGCAAATTCCTGGCCAAAACGCAGTTCCTGACGAAGTGACTTACGTTATACAAATTGTTTTGATCACAATTGTTGCGAGATATCTAATAAGAGTTGACTTGGGAATAATTTTCATTGGTATTCAAATTATGGCAGCTCTGAATATTCTCAACGATTGCATGAATTTGATCGATCAGAAAACTAAGGAAATTCCAAATTACCTCAAATCTATCATCATTCGCCACAACGATATTATTAACAAAGTGAATTTGTTCAATGAAGCCATTCGGAAGATTGCATTTCTTCAAGTCGCAAGCAGTACTTTACTTCTGATATTTGGTTTTCTTTTCTTGCGCAAAGAAAGCGATCAAATTTCAGCATATTTCATATGCTGCTTCGGAATTGCTCAAATTTGGATTTTTTGCTTGTTTGGTGAGTTTATCAAGATAAAAACCGAGAGACTTTCGGAGACTCTTTACCTCACAAACTGGTACGAATTGAGTGTGAAGGATCAGAAGACGTTTCTTCTGATCCTCGCGATGGCGCAGAAAGATTTCGGACTGAAAGCGGCCGGAATGTATGACGTCAACCTAAACGCGTTCGTTCAGATTATGAAAATGGCCTTTTCTTACTGCACCGCTTTATATGCTCTTTCAGCAAATGAATATCAAAAAGTTCAAACGCTCTAATTTTTATGCAGCTTTAGTTGTCTGATAAATCTATTTGGCGATTTGTTATTATCATTGTTAGAACAGTGAAAGGCGCTTGCGCCTAAGAGCGATTACAGACTTGCAGCTTACCCTCAAATCGACGCGAACTCGGATCAATCCTCCGTGAAAGAGCCCGGAGTGTGAAAAGGTCAGATCAGCGATAATTCGTGGTTGATCTGCAACTTTACACACTCAAAATATGGATCAGCCATATTCGTGGCTGAACTGTCACCACACACACTCAGGGGTTATTCTTCTTTGTCGACACTAGCGACACTGTGTTTGGTGTGTTCAGCTGTCAGTTGATTTACATACATTAAAAGCGTGAAATTTTACGTTAAAATTGCAAAAAAAAATTGATGACTCGCAGAAGAATTTAATGATTTTAATAGCTCAGAAAATCATTCGCAAGAGATCCGCCATTTTGCCTTTCCTGAGTTATCAAATGATTCGACGCATTGTCGGCCGATCGCGCTGCCGTCGGGAATCCCATAAATATCGACTGAACCTTCGATACATCGAGGAATGAGTCGCGTTTTATGGCTCAGCCAACTGTCAAGTCATACGCACTCGCGATCTCGCTGAACCTCTCGTGGATCACCCGCAAGTCTGTAGTCGCTCTAACAATTCTAGAATCCAAATCACGCGACTGTTCGTGAAACTGGACTAAAAGGAACTCACAAGAACTTAGCTTAGTCGAGCTTCAGAAAATGTAAAACGAACACAGAAGCTTTCTTTATCCAACTGCGCATTATTTGTTGTAATTTAATCATGAATTAAGAATGAAATTGTAAAAGAAAATGTCAGTGAAATAAACTTTTCTTCAATTCATAATTTATTTACAAGAAAAATTATTCCTTGAGTTATTTTCTTTGGTTTCCTCTCAGTGCTATTATATTCCTCTTTCCGGGGATCTTTCTGACGTTGAAAGTTTTTATTGATTTCACGCTTCAATTGAAAGCCAGGATCATTGAAATGTGGCAAAATTACTTTAACAGTCAGTCAAATCATTCGCACTGAGAATGCAACATGTGTGCATCGAGAGTGTGAGGAAAAGGAGGAAATGTCACTTAATTTGGCCGCGTGAGAAATATTGAAACCACAAAATCCATAAATAATTAAATTTAACACCACGAGAAATAGAACAAACTTTTTAGATTCCCTCCACATTGTTTCATGACGGCTTTTCAGTTTTGCAGCAATTGTTAAACTTGTCGGAAGGATTTTCTCATTCTCAGTGCGCAAAATGAAAGTTTCCAAGCAATTGGAGAAGTTCAACTGTGAAAAAGCAGTGATTGATTTCCAAATCTCTGCTTTAACGATCGACATCTTTTCTGGTCCGTGGAAAAATCGTTTCTTGGTTGTGATTTTAGTTTTCTGTTCCTTCCTTGGACTAATCTTCACAGGCACACGACTATATTATTCATTAGGAATGGAACTGAACATTGATATCATTACGACGACTTTGATTTTTATCGGTTATTTGCAAATTTTTTCGAAAACCTTTCTTGGAGCGTTAGAACGTCCGCAATTTTCTGAACTGATGAATTGGATCGAGTCTCTCTACAACAAAGAAGAAACTGATTCTGAGCTGAAAGTGATTTTCGAAAAGCATTTGATTCAATCGCTCGACATTTGGAAGTTTCTGACCAAGTGAGAAATTTTGCAATGAATGGAAATTCAGTGTTATGACATAGCAAAATGTTTTCAGATGGGGCACGCGATTTGTAACCGCGGCGGGAATAACAACTACAGCTACAATGAGACCGAATAGCAAAATGGGCTTGCTTATGCAAGTTCCTGGCCTAAACTTTGTTCCTGATGAAGTGACTTACGTTATCCAAATGGTATTGCTAACAATTAGCGCAGTTTTCATTATAACAATTGACTTGGGAATAGTTTACATTGGCATTCAAATTATGGCTATGCTGAACATTCTCAACGATTACATGAAATTGATCGATGAGAAAACTAAGGAAATTCCGAATTTTATCAAACTTATCATCATTCGCCACAACGATATCATTACAAAAGTGAATTTGTTCAACGAAGTCATTCAAAAGACGGCGTTAATTCAAGTCACAAACAGTACTTTACTTCTGATATTTAGTTTTCTTTTCCTAAGAAAAGAAAGCGATCAAATATCAGCGTATTTCTTATTCAGTATTGGAATTGCCCAAATTTTGCTTCTGTGTTTGTTTGGCGAACTCATCAAGATGAAAACCGAGAGACTTTCGGAGACTCTTTACCTCACAAACTGGTACGAATTGAGTGTGAAGGATCAGAAGACGTTTCTTCTGATCCTCGCGATGGCGCAGAAAGATTTCGGACTGAAGGCGGCCGGAATGTATGACGTCAACATGAACGCGTTCGTCCAGATCATGAAATTGGCCTTTTCTTACTGCGCCACTTTGTATGCTTTGAGCAAGTGAATATCAAACTGATCAAGCGCTCTATTTTTTGTGGCTTTAGTTGTCTGATAAATCTATTTGGTGATTTGTTATTATCGTTGTTAGAATAGTGAAAAGCGCTCGCGCCTATCGATTCTAGAATCCAAATCATGCGATTGATCATCATCTTGAAGAGAAGGAAAAGAAGACTGTAAGTCGAATTTCCTATACCAACCGGCAAAACACCAAGCCCTGCCCAATTGGTATCCCTGGAGAGCTTGTGGCGGGAATGCCACTGTCTAGGCGGCCTTCTTCCTCCTGATATACGATTCTCGCTGTTAGCATTATTTGACGGTAGAGGCAGCACTGAGGGTGACGCGGAGAAGCGCGCGGAGAAGTCAGTCAGTCTTGTCGTGAACGCGGAGCGGAGAAGTGCTATGCGAGTAGGAGCAGGGGACGCAGCGAGATGGGGCGGCAGGAGGAGTTGGTTACGTAAAGCCGACCTCTTATGATATTTGGAACTTCAAGACGTTATATTTTTATAGTTGTTTAGCAAAAAACATTCTCCGAGTCCAAAAGAACAGATGAACTTTGGCGTAATAAGCGAGGGAAAATGTGGGAAAAGCCGTAAATTCTGAGGAGCAGAGCCAAGTAACGAGTGAACAGAAGACGTCACCAGCAAGAACAGCATAAATTTCACTGGATGTTCATCTGATCAGTCGATGTGAACATTTCAGAGAGTTAATAGAATTCCGCACGAAACTTTAAACGAAGTTCAGCTTTTCCTCTCAAGTCACATTCAGAGTGAAGCTGGACTAAATGGAACTCACAAGAACTTAGCTTAGTCGAGCTTCAGGAAATGCAAAACGCTCACATAAGCTTTCTTTATCCAACTGCGCATTATTTGTTGTAATTTAATCATGAATTAACAATGAAATTGTAAAAGAAAATATCA